ACTTCGCGACTTCCTCATGAACTGCTCCTTCTCGGTTCGCGTAAGTGCATTGCTCTCATCTGACTCTCACTTCTACTGGAGTCCCTCAAGGTTCCGTCCTTGGCCCTCTTCTATTCCTCATATACATCAATAACCTGCCACACAGGATTAGAGTCAACGTCGCCATGTATGCCGACGATGTGACAATTTGGGGCACCGATCCTGTGGCTGTTCAATCAGCGATGGATGCATTCAAAGAATGGTCCACAGTCTGTAGCCTTCCTGTAAATGACGATAAATGTGTTAGTATGACGTTTGGGAGAGTCCCTGCTCACATCTTCAGAGCTAACCCTTCTAAGACCATGGAGAATGTAGAACACCATAAAGTTATCGGTTTCTGACTGACCAGATCTCTCTCATTTTCCTACCATCAACAAAAAGCCAGCAGATCTGCTTTCTGTATCCTTAACTTCCTAAAACGCTCATTCCCCAGAATAAACAAAGATGACTTTCGCATTCTCTATAGCACGTATATCCGACCATTATTGGAATACGCGAGTCAAATCGTTCACTCTTGCTTGGTGAGCGACTGTACGGCCTTTGAGCGTGTACAACGGAGGGCGACAAAACTTATTCACGGCTTATCCTCCACTCCATACTCAACTCGCCTTTCCACCTTGAATCTATACCCCTTTGAAACCCGCCGGATACGAGGTGACATCTTTCTGCTCTACAACCTCTTCAACTCCGGCAGGGTTGATGACTTTTTTACGCGCATTAATATGGATATTCTTCGCGGCCACACTATTAAACTCTTTAAACGGCGTGCTCGGACTCTAGTCCTTAAGTGCTCTTTCACCCACAGGATCATTCCTCTTTGAAATAGTCTTCCCAAAAAAGTAGTTAATAATAATAATAATGTATATTTCACGAAACCCGTGAGGCATGCACAAGGCATGATCATGCCCCCTCAAAAGCCGCATTCAAACGGAACCTAGACCTGCATCTTAGCCTAGTTCCTGAACTGTAAGTTCTCGGCGGCCAGTGGGGTTTACTCAATTCCGTATGTTATCTTGACTTTCTGATCTGTTGCATTGCATGCAGATACTGCACCCCCTCCCCTGCTCTTTCCCCATTTCAGGTTATCTTCTTGTACAAACAGAACACGGACACATCTAATCATCCAACATCCGCTGCAGTGAAGCCTTGTCCTTACCCGGCCCATTGGGACGCAGGACCAGTAGAAACTTTGGAAACCACCAGGATCCGGGACCNCGCGCACTAGTATGGATAGTCTTCGCGGCCACAGTATGAAACTGTTTAAATCGCGTGCTCGGACTCTAGTCCGTCAGTGCTCTTTCGCCCACAGAGTCATTCCTCTTCCCGAAGAAGTAGTTAATGCTCCCTCAAAAGC